GACTTCATGGATCTGATGCACTGCCTATTTTTGTCACTTTTACTACTATTTAATTCAGAGAATCATAGAATCAGCTGGGTTGGAAAGGACCTCTGAGATCATCATGAAGTTCAACCCTTGAGTTTCTGCCTAGACTAAGAAATCTAAAGAAGCTGGATGTTTCACACCAAAAGTTTTAGTGAGATTATTTTTTTAATGGTTTTGTTTTGGTTTTTTCAACTTTTTAACTTCATGTTAGAACAGAGACAACCCAATCAAATTTTAGCATGAAATGGATTTGGTGGTCTCAGTTTGATCTGTATTATTCAGATGATTAAACTTTAAAAGGACTATTGGATTTTTTTGGTGCTCTTTTGTTTCCGTTTTTGATTCTCTTTGTCCATACTTTATTCCTGACTCTAAGACCTTTCATCACTGTTCTAACCCGGTTTTCGCCTCTTGTGGCTTGTAGACAGTTTTTGATGCAATAAGAAAGCATGTGAAGTTAAGAGTGAAGAATCTGTTTGTAGTGGGGGGGGGTTTCCCCCTATTCTCCTCAAAAAGAATATAACTAACATTAAAAAAAAACTTAACAAACCTATAATTGGATTTATTAAGCTAGAAATGGCTTATCTGGACACCAGGGTGCATGTGAGTTTTACCTTTCGCTTGGAAGATTTTGAGGTTTAATCCTATTCTGAGGTCTCTTAGGAATACATATGCTGTGTGTTTGGATCAGCTACCAAAAGGCAAATACATATTTTTGGCATTTTACTTCTACTACCTTGAAAAGCAAAAACCTATTGCCCTTGTGTCCTCAGGTGCTGGGATTTTTTGTTCATTTGTTTCTTTATGCTGAGAGGGATTGTTTGGGGTTTTTTTCCCATTTTCCAGAAGAAATCAAAGAAAACAGCACTAAAAAGCCCTTCTCTCTCTCCCTCTGCCTTCTCTGTATGTAGCTGTATGCAATTATTTCTACATAATTGCATGTGAACACTGTAAACTTTATATCCAAATCTTGTATTTTGCTTACTTGTCTTTTCTTGGCTCTGTTAATTTTTTTGCTTCTTTATTGTAATCTTAATCAGTTTTCTCATTTAGGCTGTTTTGATTCTGCCATGCTCTCTTCTTTGTATTCTGTTTTTATTTTCTTCTGTGTTTTAGTGTATTTGGGTCACTTCCAAAACAATGTTCCTTAAATGTTTGTCCTTTCATCTATTCTAGGTTTTCTCCGAGTTTCTCAATTTCTATTTTTACCTGCTCTCCTTCTTTCTTATACATTACTGGTCTTTTTGTGTAGAATTTAAAAAAACAAGTAGTGAATTATAAGGTGATCCTGTGCCGTCTTCCTTTCTACATCATCTTCACAGATCACAGAATCAACTAGGTTGGAAAAGATCTCTGAGATCATAAAGTCCAACCTCTGCCCTATCACCACCTTGTCAACTAGACCATGGGACTAAGTGCCACATCCACTCTTTCCTTGAACACCTCCAGGGACAGTGGCTCCATCTCCTTCCTGGGCAGCCCATTCCAGTGGCCAACCACTCTTTTTGTGGAGAACTTTTTCCTAATGTCCAAACTAAACCTCCCATTGTGCAACTTAAGAATGTTTCCTCTTGTCCTGTCACTAGTTGCCTGGGAGAACAGACCAACACCCACCTGGCTACAACCTCCTTTCAGGTAGTTGTAGAGTGATGAGGTCTCCCCTGAACCTCCTCCTCTCCGGGCTAAACAACCCCAGCTCCCTTAGCCTCTCCTCACAGAATTTGTGCTCCAGACCCTTCAGCAGCCTTATTGTCCTTCTCTGGACATGCTCCAACACCTCAATATCCTTCCTAAATTGAGGGGCGCAGAACTGGACATAGTACTTGAAGTGCAGACTCGCCAGTGCTGAGTACAGGGGAAGAATCACTTCCCTGGTCCTGCTGGCCACACTGTTCTTGATCCAGACCAGGATGCCATTGGCCTTCTTGGCCACCTGGGCACACTGCTGGCTCAGATTCAGCTTCCTGTCAATCCAAACTCCCAGGTCCCTTTCTGCCTGGCTGCTCTCCAGCCACTCTGTCCCCAGCCTGTAGTGCTGCATGGGGTTGTTGTGACCAAAGTGTGGCCTGGCACTTGGTCTTGTTGAACCTCATACCATTGGATTTGGCCCATCTATCCAGCCTGTCCAGGTCCCTCTGCAGCCTTCTACTACATCTTCTACTTTGACATCTTGGTATCGTGTCTTGTTTCTTCCCCTTCAGAGTTGCCTTCTCTCCCTGGTGCTTGCTGCTTTTGTTAATTTGTTTATGTAAGTGGCTACTCTTTGCCATCCATAGTCAACAATAAGATCTCTTTCTGACATCGTGTGTCTTCATACACTCGAATATTAACTGCTGTGTCCTATTGTATCTTAATTATCAGTTATTTTGTCAGTATACGAAATTCGCTTATCCCTTTATTTTGTTCCTTTACTCCTGTGAAGTGATTTGTTCCTGCTCATTGCGTTAGAACTTACTCTTTCATTTTTGTTTATTCCCCTTTATAAAGTATTAATGCAAGTACAAAAATGGCCTCAAGTTCCACCAGGGGAGCTTTAGATTCACAGAAAGGGTTGTAAAGTATCGGAACAGACTGCCCCGGGAGGTGGTGGGGTCATCATCCCTGAGATTGTTCAAAAAATGTGTGGATATGGCATTTGAGGACATGGCTTGGTAAAGAACATGGCAGTGGCAATAGGTTGATGGTTGGACAAAATGATCTTGAAGGTCCTTTCCAAGCTTAATAATTCTATGATTCTACACATATGAACAACACTTCCCAGAAACCTATCACACACTTATAAGAATACTTTTCACAAGTTGAATTTATTTAGAATATCCCATTCTTTTGTCTTCATTTGAAGAGCAATCTTAGTTTCTGTTATTTGGTGTTCAACATAATATTGAAGTTTAACAAAACCTGACATTCAAAAGCAGCCTATTCTGTGCTGTGAAACTAAATATTACCTATGTAACACTTTCTATTTTTTCCATTCCAGAAGAACAGAAAGAATGGTGTTGTATTTAAACCCTTTAATTTTCTATAAAAATATTCAGTAGGGATGAAGGCCTGATTAAACAGCATAACTTGGCTTGACTTCCACATAACAGGCTTTAATGTTGTTTTCTGAGCTGCAGCAGTATCTCTGTACAAAGATTGGCCTGTCATCTTGAAAGGAGCAAACTTGGATAAAAATGTCACATGGTCTTATATAAAGGTGTGAATACCAGAGGGAAAGCTCCCCTAGTTTTCTGAAAGAGTTTTGAAAATGAAAACACAAAATTTCTGCAAGATCATAAACAGTATTTGTCAATTTTTTGACTTGACCTGGAATGCGTCTGTTAAAATTTGCAACTTGTGTCACAGCAAAACATTGAAAGTGTTGGTATCTTATGGTTATGTTTAGGTAGCATGTAGAGAGTTAGAGAAATATTTCTGAACAAAATAGGTTATGAATTCCTTATAAAATCTGCATGAAGTGTCTGAAAACAGACACAGAGTGTCCTTGATAATGAAAGAATATTTTGGTCTTGGTTTGTGGACAAAGGGGAAATGGCTTGGAATATTGAATGACTGAATTAAAATGTTGTCTACTTGTACAAAATTGACTTTAAATCCTGTAATGAATATATAAAACTTTCCAGGAAATTCTTTCTCTTGTAGCATTGACAAGGAAATTATCTTTTATAGATAGATATCTTTATAGACAGATAACAGGCTTTAGCTTTGCGTTCATTCAATATCAAAATTTGAGATTTTTTTTAACTTGACTTTCCTTCCTGTGTCTTGATAGTTGGTTAGAAGCCTTTAAATGTGTGTGTGTGATGAGTTACTCATCATCATCAGAGCCCAGCAACACAGCTCGTCCTTATGGACATTTGAAATAAAGCCAGTCTTAGCAAGGAGATTGCTTGTAAGAGTTGCCAACAAATTAGATGAATTTTTGGAGTAGATATGAAGTCTACTTAAACAAACATTTATTTCTTTTAGCAGCTGATTGATTGATTACAAACAAAAAAGCTTTACCATCTGGTCCTTAGACAACAAAGCAGAATTACACATTCCTTTTTTAAAAATTTGATTAAAAAATGTATATAATTTGCCAGGTTTTTTATGTTTATAAACACACCAATATATATAAATGACCAGTTTTACTTTTCCTATGCATAAAATTATTCATATTTAATGCACATGACTTTATAATAATCATACATTTCCAGGAAAATATGGGCATTGCTAGAAAAGCTTCTATCTACAATGCTTATTATTATGTCTTAGCTATTCATCATAACACAATTTGACAAGCAGTTTTATGACTTGAACTAGAAAGTAGTATTCAAGGAAAAATTGAAACAAAACCCTCTGCTAAATCAATTAAACTTATTCCAGTAAATATTGTGAAATTTCAGACCTTTCTGGAACAGAGTATTATTTATAAGGGTGTGTAATAGAGTAATTGCAGAGCTGTGTAGAGACAGGTATTACATTTAGGAGAAGTTTTACAGTTTTGAAACTTAATGTTATTCTGAGTGGTAATAAAACATGAAAAATTCTAAAATTTACTGAGAGAGAACTTGTAAGCTTTTTCTCTCAAAAGAAAACTAAAGTATGTTTTATCAATAGAGTGTCTCCATTTATAATGTAAAACTTAAGTCAGGGTATAAAAAAAGTTATGAACCAAAGTATTTTCAAAGATGGTTTAAATATACTCTTGAAACAGTTTGGTTGTTCGTACCTCCCCCCAAGCTGTTGAAATTCTCTTCCTATTCTGGCTTTCTCCCACATGTCAAAAAATGAAATTATATGCCTTAAGTTTTTAATCATTCCTGTATCTTTTGGAAAGATGCTTTGTTTTCACTGAACATCAGTGACATGACTTTAATCTCAAAGGTATAGTTCTTGATATATAAATAGAGTCAATTTATTGTCATTACGGATTTTTTCCCCAGGATATGAAAATCCTTATTGCTGTGTTTTGTTTTATTTCATTCCAGCTATTCATGAACTCTCTTGTGAAGCATACAAGCACTTGGGCAAAACTTCAAATTACTACTGGATAGATCCAGATGGTAGTGGGGCACTGGGACCTTTGAAAGTTTACTGCAACATGACAGGTAACTGCATTATATTTGCTAATTCAGTTGGTTGGGGGTTTTGTGTGTGGTTTTTGGTTTGGTTTGGTTTTAATGTAGTTGGAAGAAAAAGTCTATTCATAATTCATATTTCTTGTAAAAAAAATAATAATTGCTAAGAGCTTTCCATGAGAGGGATCATCAAATCTGTAGCTATCATTCAGTATGCTCTTAGAAAGGCAGTAGTTAATCCATTTCATAAACTTTTTGAATTACAGCTATTCATTAGTCTTAATAGGTCCTTGTATCCTCAGTGGCTCATCATTTAAAAAAAAAAAAAGATAGATACGGCTATTTACGAAAACTGTTGTATATCAACAGATTTCAGTTCGGTAATGTCTGCAGTTCGTGGGGTACTGTAGAAGGCAGCTTACCACAAGAGCCAAGGAATAGAAATTTATTACAAAAGAAACAAAACATTTGAGTTTTCTTTACTGTCTGTATTTTAAACTAGATACATCCTTCTAACACCAGTTAAATTCTGGAGATCATATATATAACTACATTAACTTATTTTGATTTTGTTGTGTGTATTGTTTTCTGCTTTTAACACTTGCTTTGCATTCTCACAGAAAGTATCCTGTCTCTAGTCATCTGCATTGCCACGTTAAGGCAGGAAAATAAGATAATTAAAAAATAAGGGGCAATTTTCTTCAGTGATAGTATATTATTTCTTTGTTTTGTTAATGCATGGCAGTTGTCTCAGCACTTCTTCTGATATAAAATGTTGAGTAGCTGATACAACAGACATATCCTCTGGTTTTCCCCAAATGCCTGTATAACAAGTTTAAATTTCATTTTTTTGCACTGGAAATGTGGCATATGAAGTCTTCAGACTTCAGCATCAGCAACGTGAAGGTGAAGACACTATCATAAGTTGAAAGTGTCTCTGGCTTTTTAGACATCAAAATTGCTGAAGCTCCCACAACTCTTCTGGGGGGCAGAAACCTGGACGCACCTGGGCCTGTGGGGTGGGTTTTATCCAGCTCAGATGGGAGAGATGGGGAGGAATGCATGGCACATGCAGCAGACCCCAAATCAACTGCTTATAGGTAGACAACCTGTTGGAGACCAGGAGATAATACCACTGTTTCATGCTGCCATTAATGTATGTATTTGTATAATAAATGCATACCTTAAAATGAGCCTAATCTAAGCTCTGGAAGTGCTGTCAATCCTATTTGGACTGGAGAGACTGTTCAACCTGTTAAATCTGTTCTGAGACACAGGTGTAAAGGCAGTGTTTTAGAGCCTGAGCCATTTAGAGCTTTTTAAATCATAAGTAGCACCTTGAATTGTATCAGTAACTAGTCAGGCAGACACTGCATGAAAAAATGCCAAGAATTGCTGCTATTTAAGAGATTTCTGCTATTCAGAACTGCTGTGTTCAGTGTGAGCTATAGCTTTTGGTTACTCTTCAAGGGTAGGAATGTAAATTAGAAGTATACCACCATAGCAGTGTCAGGGACAGAAAAATACATCCATCCAGTGCTACAGTATTGCTCATTCATGATAAATAGAAATATGAAACAGAAGGTCCCAGCAGCTTATTCAACACTGCGAAATAAAAGAGATAAGTAAAAGTAATAGTTTCATTTTACTAATGTTTCTCATATACAAAAATTTCCAGAGTACATAAATGTGACCTTTACCTAACCAGTGCAAGATCATGAACATTACAATACATGATTTAGTGCTCTTTCCCTTCATTTGGATATGACACATACTGTGGAAAAATACAGTTTTCTGTTTCAAATGAATTGCTCTCATCAGCAACTCTTTGCTATGAGAAAAAGGCATTTTGCACTAATATCCATGTAACTATTGCAATTTTAATACTATTTAAAACTATTTCTTCATTACAATGCAAATGACTGCAAGAAATATGTGAAAATTGATTTGCAGTCATTCTAATCTCTGCTTCTGAAACCGAGAGTTGTTCTCAGATGGCTTAATAAAGCTCATCACCTGTGTACATACTGTGTAGTGCCTATACATTGCAACTGCTATAGCTTTAATTTTCTTTTAATTAGTGGTCATCTGAGGCACTGAAGATGGCACAGTAGAGAACTACATTTTTAGGAGAAATTTCACAACACCCTAAATCTTTTTCTGAATCTATATAGAGTATTATCAGCAACATGTGTTCTAGGGAAGGGACAGAATGAGCTTACTTGAGGACTTTACTTTGCTTCATCAATAACACAATTCTGTAGAACTCTGTAGCAATGATACATATCTTGTCATATAACAAAAGACATATTAGATTAAGAGCAGAATTCTCAAATAATTTTAGTATCAAACTTGTACAGGTTTATGGTATTACTAGCACTATATTTGAAAAAGAACTTAAACTAGCTGAATTACAATTAATTCTTTTTTTCATGACCGTGAAACTAAGTAACATACAGATTTAGCTATACTGAATAGTATGTGGAGTATACTAAATGAAAAAAACACAAAACATTTCTTCATATAGCAGGGTACTGATATTTTATTTTAATAGAGACATCCTTAACTGTATTTTCCTCTCTGCCCTGTGGCAAATCTAAATGTTCTTATTCTCCTACTATTTTAAACAAACATCTCTATTTTAAATTACTACTCAAGATGCTAATAGACATTTTAAATATCCCCTCTTTCATTCAGGTGAATGACTAAAAAATTAATGTAAAATTTAGCTTGTTTCATTCCTAGACAAAACAAGTCTATAAGGTTAGGGTAACTTATGAAATTAGTATCAATCTTTGCAAAACAAGGTGGCTTAACAGTTATGTACTACTTTCACCCTCACTGAAGTATAGTTTTACTGGTACAAAATGTTGGAGAGTAAGCTACACTCTCTCTTGACTGTAAACCTTCTTATGGCAAGTGCAATATCCCGAAAAGCCACTGAAATTGTATACTGAGAAATTATGTATTTAGCCCTTTACTATATTGTATCACAAATATTGAATCACAAATTTCATTGTTTCATCTTTATATCAGCATTTCACCTATGGAGTTTCTAGTCAGAAAGTGTTGGCTTAGCCAAATGTGCCAAAAAAATATTAAAAAAAAAAAAAAAGATAAAATTATGGTGCAGTAGACATCCGTCTAGGCATATTTCTGGGCATAATACATATCCAACTTAATTGTGTCTTAATTTAGTAAACTGTTGAGTTTCATGATGAGACCTGCCCTTCATAGATGTTACTGCGGTAACTAAAGATTGTTCTGGTTTTTCTGAGATGTGCTGGCGATTCAATAGTGCAGTTTATAGAAATACATGTATGTGCATGAACAGAGCAGTTCATGGTCTCTACAAACTAGTCTATTGCCCAAGAAATCCCAGAGATCCCCCCTCCAATTCTCATCCTTGGCTTCTCCAAATAAACTCTCTACTCGGTACTGTGTTCTGATAGTGAAGAGGAACCAAGAATTTACATTTTATATCCTCATAGTGGAATGAACATGTTCGAGATATCATGTTCAAACTATCTAGTCCTGGTGCAGTAAAACAGCTTTTCAAAATCTAGGGCATTGCTGCTGATGTTCAGCAGTTTCCCAAAGACTTATCTATAGGAACTACATACATTTTACAAAGTTTTGGGGTTTTTTTACTTGCTTTTTTGCTTTTTTTTAATAAAAAGAAGTATTGGAAATGTTTAGAAGTAGAAAGTTTGAACTTTTCAAACTAATACACTTTTGGAAAAAATATTCCTTGAAGTTGTGATGTGGCATAATTTTTAACCATTAGACTACTTTTCAGTTTAGCCTTTTGTGACTAAATTCAATGGGGAATTCTTCAAAACTCTGTCATCTTAAGGCTGAGATCTTACCCTCTTTCAGAGGCAGGTCCACAATGCAAAATTAGACTCTGATTCAAGCAGGTTATTCCAAAGTTGGAAGGTTCCTATCTCAGTATGCAGTCTGACCGGTCCTGTTTTCTCTTTAATTGTCATTAGAGCCATAGCTGCAGTGGAAAGAATTGCTCTTTTAAGGTATTTGTTAGAACCTGTAAACTTTCAGTATATTACAGCTTCACCACTTGCTCAGTGTGGTATTTCTGAATCTCTAAGTCTGATTCAGTTTCCTCTGGCAGATTTAGTTTTAGTCCCTTGAGAAAGACACAAGAAATAAGTTCATATTACTCCCAATTTTTTCCATTTCTCTTTTTTACTCTGTTTGGTACATGGAGGATGGGGAAAAGGTGTCAAACAAGTACGTTTATTCAGATCTTGTGCATTTGTCCTGCAAGAATTTTCAGAGTCGAGAGTGAGGAATAAGCAGAGGGACCATAAGGACTAGTTATTTATCCTAATGGCTATATGGGATGTCAGTGGGAAAGGCAGATCAGCATTCCTGTAGTTGCTTGAGGCTTTATGCTGAGTATAGGGAAATATTAGCCTGCTGTTACTTCTGCTTCATCATTTAGAGTACTGATGCAAAGTAAAACTGAAAGGTTTCATATTCTATTTTACCAGAAGGTATGTCAGTTAATTTTTCCTATTGGTCCTGAAGTCTTTATGCCTCTGTGATGTAGCTTTTATCTCATTTCAGGATCCAAATAGCTACAAGCACAATGCCTCCATTTGAGTGGTACTTACCCTATCCCCTTTCTAGTACAATTCTTTTGCCTAAAGCTGCTCATCTTCAAACAGTTTGAGAAATCATTATGCATATTCATAGCCTGTCTCATTAAGGTCAAGTGTACGAGGTGTCTTTTCTACCCACTCTCCTCTTTCCTCTCTGCTCTCTCTCTTCATTTTTTTAACAGAAATGGAATGTGTAAAAATTACTGCAACGACTTTCCGAGTAGACATTAAACAACCATAACTGTTGTATCCTGTGATTTTTCTATCTTCTATCAGTAAATAGTGGGTCACTGGAGTGCTTTGTACTATGACATATGTAGAAACATATGGCATGAATATAAATGTGCCATTCATCACTACATACCGATGAAAAGTGCTCTAGCAGTGGTAAATGTTTAATTCTGT